CCATAGCCAAATGTTTCTGACTATAAGGGTCCAGGGCCCCAAATAATGGGGTTTTAGGGCCCAAATACCATTTAAAAATTGATATATATATATATATTTGGGGGGGGGCCCTAAATCCTATCATTTGGGTACTTGACCCAGGATATGTTTCATAGGACCAATGCGCTTGATCAAGCTAAGAATCAACCCTCCGGCCCAGCACATCCTACGCAAGCCGCTAGGGCGGGTGCCTGCTCGTAGCAGCAGCTGTAGCTTTTATAGAGGCAGCTTGCAGTATCAAATTTGATGGCTTATTTCAGTGGTCATGGGCTACCCCATCTGGTAGTTTCCCCAAGTAAGGGGACCCCAATATAGACCCCAATATACTATAATCCTTATTACGGGACCCCCAAAATTGTACCCCTCATTTTGGGAAACCCCAATGTCAGGAAAGAGAGGAGTTTCGGCTTGGTTGGCTTTCGTATGGCTGGTTTTGGTTTGTTTCGATGGAAGTAGTCTTTGGGTGTGCATGTCTGCCCACTACAGCTGACCAGTGCGTACACCCTACAACCTATAGTGAATTTGTATAAACTAATAACAACAAACCACAAACCTCTGCCACCTGGGAACTATACGCCATCGTCTGCGCGTCAGTGGAGCTCCGGGCACTGCTTGCTCCGTTTTTACTTCGCTCCTGCCGCATGACTGTTTTGCAAAATGGTAGTTTCCCAATATAAGGGGACCCCAATATAGACCCCAAAATACTATAGTCCTTATTATTGGGACCCCTAAAATTGTACCCCTAATTTTAGGAAACTCCCAAATACAGTTTAAGGGGTTTAGGGTTAAAGGTTTAGGATGTAGGATTTAGTGTTTAAGTGTGCCCCTGGGACTCTAACGACTTGGCGATTATGTAGAGATTCTCGGGGCCCCGTCATGGATTGTTTAGGGACTGTCTTGTGGAACTCCCACAGGGAGTCAGACGCTGCCCACCAACAAATTGGCTACGTTTAATCAAGCCCTCCCTCATGAGACGAACTAAATGCATCTGGTTGGAGCCCTGCTGAACACACCTGTATGTGGGGGAATAAGGTTTAAGGTTTAGGGAAGTTGGATGAACATGATCCGGATTGCAAGTCGGGATGCTGGGGTTCGGGCACTGAGAGCTCAGGGAGCATCACTCCGTCCAGATGTGAAAATTCATGTTTGTTGCGATCCCTACGATCTGTAAACCAAGTCCGTAGAAAGTCCTTGTCAGAGGGTCCGTAACCCACAGCAAGCATCTACTGCAAATTCCACTCCGTATGACCCCGATATCATCCCGGATAGCCCCAAAGGCATCCCCCCAAAATCCGTCCAGCCATCAAAATGACCGTAGGGGTCCACGTTGCGCGATAATGGATAATGGGACTCTAGGTAGTAGTACTCTCACTCGTGTCATTATTCTTATTATTACCAGTACTGATATTGCTACTACGGTTGTTCTTGCTAATATTGTTAGCGGTATCTTAAGTTACAATTGCTACTAGTGTTACTGTTTACTATCATCCAAACGGTTGTTGGTAACGGAAGCTCTCATCTTTTGTCATTCGGACCCTGGGGGTGAAGTGGCAAAGTACTGCACTTCTGAAGCACAGCGCACAATAAAAGAAACGCTAACACTACTCTCAAGAACAAGGTGGTAGAAGTATGAAAATTAGCAATAATCATTATAGTTGGTTCTTGAGATGTTCCCTATCAGATTCTCAGGACCGCTCCGGTACATGAAGACTGACACACTATGCAAGGTATAGGGCATAGGGTTTCGGGTTTATACTGCGCGCTCACGAACTTCCCTAAACCCTAAACCCTGCCTGGATTTGCCCGAAGCGTGGGAGCGGAATGCATCCTGTCTCAGGAACCGGAATATCTTGTCCTGGCGGGGCTGGATTCTACATCTGGGTTGAGGTTTAGGGTTTAGGAACCGGAATATCTTGTCCTGGCATGGCTGGATTTTAAATCCTGGTTTGGAGACTTAGGTAAGATTTGGTGTTCGTTTTGAGCATGTGGGAATCAGGGTTTTTGCGTGTGGTACTGAACAATTGAAAATAATTCTGAAGCCCAGAAAAGAAGGACATTTGGGGATCATATCCCCTCTGAACCCTCAACCCTAAACCCTAGACCCCTTTAAACCAACATTTCCGGTGAGGACAACGGTGAGGTCGGATGGCTTGGGCCGGGTCGTGGTTATGGCAAAACTCTTTCAAGGTCGTTTAGGATTTAGGGTTTAGGGCGCAGGGTTTGCTAGGGTAAAAATCTAATCTTCATGGCCTTATACGGGATTATATGGGGACGGAGGGTTATTGAAATGCATATGTTCAAACCTGCCTCTGTTTACGGGGTACTTCACAAATCCATACAAAATTCTGTGTCAAGGCCTGCGTCCTAGGGGAACCCATTTCGGAGCCTGAACCCTAAACCCTAAACCCATTACGGAGCCTGATGTTGGCGCCGGACAAACTGTTTGGGGCTGCCGGCTCGCAGTGCTTCAGCAATGAGGGAAGAGAGAGCCGCGACTATGATACCAAGCCCCTTCCCGACCCTATAGACTCTAAGGGGTTTAGGGTTTAGGGCAGGGTTTAGGGCAGGACTCATAACAGAAGGCTCTCAGACCAACGACCATACTATGAAAGGCTTTTGGGCCATTTTGAGCCTCAGGGCGAGAATATTGAACAGCCCTTACGGGACCAGACATGCTGAGGTTCAGCCTCGATGTCAGGGGGTGAGGGTGGTTCGAAATGAAGGCCCGGCGATTACTCAGTTTCTGCCATAGTTACGACGACCACAGCTACTAGAGTACTGCAGCCAGTATTCTTGTTGTCGTGGTTCCTTATCGTTACCACTGTGTACAAGGTCCCTAACGCCAGCACCACTCCCCATGCATACAAGCCTCCAAGGGGGACCACTATAGCCTTGAAAAGCTCACATGCTGGCTCAGTAACCCCACCCCAAAAAATTAGGACCCTTAATGACTGTCCTATGACTACGATAGGGTCGCTATTTGGGAGGTTGGGGAGCACCCACATCCCGATACCTTATATTCGCAAAACACCACAGTCTAGGTGTTCTCGGTACCTTTACTTACAACTCAGAGACATAAGACGGGTGTATATGTCACCTTTATTCGCTATTAAGATCAGTACTACCCTCCCTAAAATACTGAAGCACCCACTCTCTAATAATAATTGTTCCTTATATACTACAACATACTGCAATGGACACCCATTCTTAAGCAGTGGGGCACGTGTCGTTACGAGCATGGGGTCAACATTACTATAGTTACTCTGACTATGCCGACTGTGAGTAGTAGCAAATTACCACTACTACTTATAACTGCAGTGAAATGAAAATGATACTCATCATTGCTAAAGATTGTTCTTCACTGCATGGGCTACTCATATTAGCTATATGCTTATGCATTTTCACTCTTCGTGAAATCGTCATGAAGCCCCACATACTAATCTTATACACGCACTTGCGCCTGGTACTACGCGTCGCCCACAAGGGACGATATATCTTGGGGCAGCATATTCAACATTAGGGTAGGGGTGTTAACGGTGTTAAATATCACTCAAAAGGGTGCAACCTCTGAAAAACCCCAGTTCCTTTTCATGTCCCGTTTGAGCTGTAGGCTTTAGTCTAAACTCATAGTATCCCCCCTTAATAACGCCTATAGTCATCCCCTACATAGTCGCCTATATAACCCCCTTAAGGGAATTTCGACTATAGCCCCCTTAACAGGAAACCCTTAGCCCATTTCTGCGGAAACCCTAAACCCTAAACCCTTAGCCCATTTCTGCGGCCGTCCTGATGGAGTTGCATCACCAACGAGCTTGCGGCTCGGAGGAATTTTGTTCATCGGGCCTCAAGGGTTTAGGCTTGGGGCTTAGGGTTTGAGGTTCAGGGTATACGTAGAGTTTATGGTTTTGGGTTTATGGTTTGGGGTTTTGGGGGACAATGAAAACGAAATGGAAACTACTATAGTATATTGGGGTTATATAGGGATAATGGAAAACAAAATGGAATCAATAATCTGACAGTTTCCGGACCATTGGAGGATTCCCTTTAGGGGGCTTAGGTAGGGGTTTTACCATTCAGGGTGGTGTTTCCGGTTAAACCGTGGTCAACAAACCATGTTGGGGGTATGTTTCGTAGTACCGGGCTCTCAACGAAAGGGACGTATGTATTTGTGTATGTGTCGGAGGGGTCAAACATGCTCTTTGCATGAATTCATGACCCCCCCAATTAATGGTATATCATACCTGTAATTGCACTAAGAACTTAATGTCAAGCCTTTTACGTCCCCTAGCTAGCCTAATGTTGTCATCATTGAGCTGTAACTTGAATCGTATAAGGTCTAGGCCAAGTTTAGGGGCGCAAACCCTAATACCTAAACCCGAAACCAGTTTTAAGGAATCCCATGGAATGCGTTTAGGAGATCTTGATATTCATTAGGTGGGTTACCCGAGGTCCCAGACTCGTGAGCTTCTGATCCTCCTAACTCCTAAGACCAAAATCCGGGTATGAAACTTAACCCTAAAACCCCAAACCCGAGAGACCCTGAAAAGAAGCCCTATCCCCGGGCTCCACTGTAGTTTCTTTTGGTGTAATACATAAGAATCCGTCAGTAGAAAACAACAGTTTGAAAAGAACTACATAAAACCCCTGGCCCTAAACCCTCAACCTTGGACTGCCGCGCCTGTGAAACCGTGGTATTTGGGGTGCTGGGCGCCTGTTCGCCTTTAGGCGCACGTCTCACAAAGCCATGGCTTGGCTCAGGAGAACTTACGTCGCGCTGTGCTGTCAGACGTTTGCTTCAACATCTTTAGAAGCAACACACAACCCCCGAAGCCCCGAACTATGATAAGGGCCTGGGCAAATGCTAAGCAGGGAATGCTGATGTAATGCTCGCTCACTTAAGATTTCAAACTAAGCCTTCGTCCAGACTGCGGATTGCGTGATGACATGACAGCCCAGAGGAGTCAACACTCATCAAGTGCGCAACAGAGCGACTGAACCGCATGCCCCAAGTAATCAGAGTTTCCAAAACAACGGAACCTGAAGGTCTCTCCTGAAGCGCGGATTACAATAACAAGAGTCATGTCTCTTTTTGACAACTTTAAAACATGCAGGCGGGGCATATCAGTCGTGATAAACCCGGTCTTGTGCTCCCAGTTTGCTGGCGGAAAGTCCAGCGTGTAGTAGAGCTTAAAGCGACCTCAATGGCAATTATGGAACCAGCGACAGTCAGGGACCTCGGTGGCGCCTGCTGGTGCTGAACAGAGCTTGAAACAGCAATTTGCTGGGGAGCCCCCACGGGACAGAACCTAATGAGTTTGTGTTTAGGCTTACTGGCTAACGGCCCATACTTGGTGGCAAGTACATATGTGGGGATGCTGGGAACTACCAATCCACTGAATGTAGACCTATGATGAAAGCGACAAGTATTTACGTCCGGCTTGACCGACCGTCGTTGTGGGTCTGTCAACCGGATAAGGAACCCAACGCAAGTTTCTGACAGGAAGTGGGGAAGATATGTACTACAGTCTAAACTCCTTAAAGGGGGATTGTGTAGGGGATTATATACGGGAGTAGTATAGGGGCTATTAAGGGGATACTAGGAGTTTAGGCTCTGGCTCATATGATCTAGGCTTGGAGTTTTGCCTCTGCCCGAATCAACGCACTCAGCCAGGTTTGAAACTGCTCTTGCCCTTAGATGTCTGCCCGCATCCTTTCGCCGGTGGGGCTCCTGTAGCGGCATGTACTACAAGGATACTCTTGGCCCGGCTACATGCCCGGCTCACGTAAGCAAAGAAGAACAATGCAGTACCATTGAGATGGACTGTGATAGGAGGTGGCTGCCCCAATTTGTTTTTAGGGTGCCATATCGAGAGCAGGTTTTCAATCCTCTCAAAAGGAGCCACCGTTTGCAATACTACTCGTAGAAATGGAACCTAGTCAAATCCTTTTGATGAGCAGAGGCGCACGTATCAATAAGTTATGGGTCCCGCTTTGAGGGTTCTCATGAACAAGTTCAGATTTTTGGGGTCGTTTAAAGGGCGACCCAAACCCTAAATCCCTAAACTCTAATTGAACTCTCTGTCTGGGAAGCTACCTGGCAGTTTCCAAAAAACAGGGTCCCGCATATACTCACCATTCTATGACGACGTAAGGGAGACTGATGTTATATATGTATCTATTTATTCCTCTTCTACATATCCTTAAAAGTCATATCTTCAAGAATCCCTTGCAGGTATACGACATACTGAGAAACAAAAATCCTAAAGGGATAGGAGTTTTTGGAAACCTTCACACACACGCCGTCCGACATCAATTGATCAGTTCTTGTCGTCAGGGGGCTTCACCAAAGCTGTGAGTCCGCTCTGAGGGGTCTTTTCAAGGTTTAGGATATGGGAGCTCTCCTAAACAAGGGTACCCCAATAAAGATCCTAATAAACTATAATCCTTTTTATGGCGTCCTCCAATCCTAAGTTTGGGAAATCCCCATTATAGTGCATGGAGCCAGTCTTGTACCACCTGAAGTGCCGATAACGTTGATGGATGAAATCCTGCACCAAGTTACCTCGGTCCTGGGAATGACAAAGCGCGGTCTAGCCCAAAGGGTCCAAGTACCCAATAGTCATATACTTGCCTCAAACCTGTACCATAAGCACTATTACCCAAAACCCAAGTACATAATTATTGGGTACATGGACCCTCTGGGTAGGGTTTGGGGTTTAGGGACCCTGAGTGTTGCAAGATTTTCTCCATCAACAATAGCACTGAAATTCACTGGGCATATAGGGTTTATGAAGTGGTGCAAGATTTCTACAATCATCCTTGGAGGTATACAAGAGCTACTCAACATTGCATTGCAAAGCAGATAAACGCATGCACACACGAATCCCCTAAACAATGCCAAACAAGATCTCGTAATCTCGACTTTGGGTCACAGACGCGATTCTCTTAATGTCCATCCTAAATCCTAAACTGCATTCGGAGTGGCCTTTGCTGTTCCTGGCAATGTCGTCCAAGATGTCTCGACCTTAGCAAATGGGGTGGGTGGGTAGGGGGGTTTCCAAATTACAGGCCGTTTTGGGGTATCCTAGATCTTACTAGCGCCCGCATTTATACCAGGGCCCAAGAAGGGGACGTTGATCTTGGCATCCCAGCAAGTATTTGGCTTAGGGCTTAGTAAGACACACCCAGAGTACGGGGATCTTTGAACTTTGAGGGACCAAGTCCTGGCTTGCTGTAGGGCTTAGGCTTTAGGGTTCAGGGTTTAGGGTTTGGGGTTTAGGGTTCAGGGTCAGGCATGTGAGGGTCTGCCTGAATTACTGTCCCCCAAATGGAGGAAATTTATTTACGGACCAGTAGTCGACTATGAACCCCACTATAGGAACCCGTATTAAAATACATTTAGGAGGCTTATTTTCGGACTCGTGATAGGGATTCGACACATCACCTATTTCCAATGTCCCATAGTTTAGTCTATGCCACAGCAACCCAGGACAGGCATTGAAGCTACACACCACGTGGCCAGAAGTGATAGGCTGATGAGGGAGGCTGTTGGTGAGGTTGAAGAAGTTAAAACGTATTCAAGCCCAAAGTCTACAGACACAGGAGAATAGAATCGTACTCTGGGTTGGGGACAATATATAGTCCTCCTTAGGTAGGTAGAATTAGGGGTATATGGGGATCTTATAATACTATAGCCAAAGCCAGAATCTATCTACTTAAGGGGGAAGGCTTGAGGTCTACTCATCTGAGCTCGGAACACAAGATATCATTCTCGGTCTTGTTGGCATAGATCCTGGGTAGCCGTATGACTGATGCAGAGGTCTTAGACCCCAGACACTACACACTAAATCCGCTGTTGCAGGAGGTATCCTAAAGAAAGCCTACCTTCCCAATCGGCCCAAACCAGGCACCATCCAAAATGATCCTACGATAAAGTGCCTGAAGGCATCCAACAAAAGCCATCTCGAATCTTCTATGGATAGTATATACTACCTCGCAAGCTATCCGCATTTCTGTGTATGTATATATATATATATATATGTATCTACGCATACATTCAGATGTGCTTACATGTCCTGCGCCCTTGAGCATCCAAGGCTATCCTGCACCCAAACCATACGAAACTTAGCCATGTGGTAGTCCTCCGAATTACCCTACACTCCATATCATCAGAAAACCTACGTCATTCAGTGCCTGAGTGATATGATGCCATGCGCCTTTCAAAGCTGTCACCCTTAGACAGTTGCGCTTTTAGCCGAGTCCTGAGTCATGTAGGGGCCCAGATACGCAATGACTATGAACGGATTTGAACGGGATGGTTATCCGAAAGTATCATGCTCAACATTACACCCCAACCCATCCTTCTACGAGCTAAACGCTCCGAAATCAACCAAGGCTCTGTGATCTATCGCCTTCAACCCTCCAAAAACATCCAGCGTTTTGCCACATCCCAAACCCTCCAACATTTGTCTATGCGTTATTCTTCTTCTCATTGGTAGAAGCCCCAGGCTAAACAATCAATCCTCAACTCTCTTCTCTCTGACTATCCTACGCGGCAATTAGGAACCCTTCCAAGGGTTAATCCATGGGCACCCAAAATAGGATATCCCAAAGGGTTAAGGTCTAAGATCCACGCTAAGTCCGAAGGAGTATCTTGAGCCCTTCAACCATGTGGGACTGCAGCTGGGGAGCAACTGGCCCTAGACCCCACATAAACCCTGTCTTCTTTTCATGTTCTGTTGTCCTTAACCCTGTAAAGGATTTGCCCAGGAGCAAGTAGAAGTTGCAGGTATCCCCCGCATCGCGCAGAGCAGCTTGGACAACCTGGTTCAAGACGTTCAGGGTTTCGGGGTTTAGGTTTTAGGGCGTAGAATGACCACTCAAATATTTACTAGGATTTTGTAATTGTTTTCAACTGGGTTGCATCCTCTAACTAGCAAAGTACACAATGTAAGGCCATTGAGCAGGTTATAGCCAGGGATTGAAGTCCAGCTACAGGTAATCACCAAAGCCCATGAACTCCCAAGTCACCCACTAAACCCTAAACCCTACACCCCCCCCTTTGAGGAAACCCTATTAAAACCCTAAACCCCAAAACCGGCACTGTTAGAAACTACAAATTTCCCAAGGGGAATGGGCGGGGCGGGGTGTCCTTATAGCGGCGGGTTAGTAAATATTCCCATGACATGATAATTTAAGTGTTAAGGAGTTTAGGGCTTTAGTAGGATTTAAGGGTGTGCGGGTTTGGGCTACAGAGTTTTTGGATTTTAGAGGTTTAGAATTTTAGGGTTGATAATTCGGCCACACAACGACAACATGCTGGCCTGCAGCAATGAATTTCCTACACTAACGGGCCGTACGAATCAAATACCAATTCGTGGCGGCGCTTGTCCCCTAAACATATGCCTCAGAGATTTAGAGAAAGGACCCGCAACAATTGAAGAAGAACAAGAAGAGCCTTCCAAACATCCGGACATGCCACTATACTTATGGATTCCCTAACCACCCCCCTCCATACTACCCCGTAAGTTTTTTCCCCTTCGTTAACTTCAACCAACCTGAAATAAGCTTACTGTAGTGGAGCCGGAAGTGGGGTAGTGCAGGGGGTGGTTTCGGAAACCAACAAAATGCACTCACAAAATCTGTGGACATGGCAGGCGCCCAAAGATTTAGGGTCGTGGCTTTGGGGTTTAGGGTATAAAGGTACCGTTGACGTCAAGGGTCCATCATGGGCTTCCCTAGCAGTTTGCTTGATCAAATCTTAGGCATAACTAAAGCTAACTATGCATACAAAAGGGGAACCTAGGACCCAGGAAAGTGTATACGGTTGCAGTCCCCCTTAAATAGATAACATATGGCTTTGGGTATGCTATAATTAATAAGATCCCCATATGCCCCATACCCTAAAACCCTAAACCCTAAATAGTAGTTGCCAGTTTCTTGTCGTTTATCCCTATATAACCCCAATATAACCCCAATAATCGATCTACTTAAGGGTGACTATAGCCAGGAGAGCCGAGATGTTCAGAACCGGGTCTTGGGTCTTAGGGTCTAAGAATTAATATACCCTAAGGGTCCAAGGACTCAAAAAATGGGGCTTTAGGGCCGAAATACCATTAATATCAAAGGATTTGGGCCCTGAAGCCCTATCATTTGGGTCCTTGGACCCTTAGGGATATTGACATGAGGGTTCCAACGGTATGATCGTCTAAACAAATCAGGCTTCTACGCCCCAAGCCCTAAACCCTAAACCCTAAACACTGCACCCTAAAAGGCTGAAAGGTGAACCCTGAACTCCAAGCCCTACACGCCAAACCCGGAATCCCAAACCTTGAACACCGAACCCTAAACTCCGAACCCTAAACCCTAAACTCTAAATAGTAGTTCCCATTTGCTTTTCCATTATCCCAATATAACCCCAATATATAATATACCCTAAAATCCCTATATAACCCATTATAGCAGTTTCCATATTCTTTTCCATTATCCCAAAAGAACCCTAAACTCTACAACTCAAACCCTCTGACTCGGCCTGAAGCATGGGAGTCAAGCCAGTTCCACCTGCCATCATCCCCACATGCTTGACCGTCACCTGGACTGCTTTTGGGCAAGATGATACGGGGATTCTGAAGATAGGGGTACGTGGGACCCCCGGCGGTATGTAGGGGTTGTGAGAGCATTGAGGATGTCCTTATGTGAGTCTGTTTAACACATTTTGAAGAAATCCCATGTGGTTGGTGCTACGGCTGCAGGGGGCGTGGGATTGATAAAGGGCTACTTTTGAAGAGGACCAACCAATTCTCACATGATCTCCCACTTCCTTGGGTGGGCCAAATGATGTCCTTGTTATCTCCCTAAACCCTAAACCCTAAACCCTCTGTGTGTTTGCAGCTTCGGGAACCTCCACGTACTTGGAACTTAGCTGCTAAGACTAGCTGCAGGGAAAAACATCAAAGTAGCTCAATACATGGAGCAGTGAATCATAAACAACCTGAGTTAACCTGCAACTGCAGCTTTGAGACGTGATGATGTTTATGGGACTGCGATCTGTCTGATGTAGGAGCCTAAATACTTGGAATAAGGCTTTGTTTGATGAGACTACATTGCAAAGATACGAAATTCCTCGAGACAAGTGATGATGGTGATCACTCATCCTGTTTTACACACGGCTTTCGTAAACCTAGACTGTGCTTCGCGATGCTTAAACACGCACTCGCTCTGCAGAAAGACCCCTACTCACCTGCTCGGAGAGCTCGTCATGCTACCCAAGCAATGAAAGTTTGAGACAACGCAAATCCCTATCCTGCCTTTTTGCACATCAAACAACATTAAGAAACCGCAAAAAGGGACACGTTCTGCCGGACGCATTCTGCGCTGCAACTCCTTTCTGCAGTTAGGCCATGGAAGGAGCAAATTGCACAACCTGATATACCAGTGGTGGTTGCCTAAACTCACAGTATGCGCGTGTCTCAAACTTCACAGGTGTTGTACCCCACGTGGTTCTTGCAAATTTGCATGTGAGCTATAGTCTAAACTCCAAGTATCCCCCTTAATTACCCCTATAGTACATCGCTGTTCCGAAAGTTTTGAGCTACGGGGCCTTTTAGCATGCGGACTGAAGTACAAACATCTTGCGGAGTAG